AATTGTTTATCATGTGTGTGTGTGTGTGTGTGTGTGTGTGTGTGTGTGTGTGTGTGTGTGTATGTATGTATGTATGTATGTGTTCCTACTCATTTTTAAAAATCCATTAGATCTCAATGTTTTATGCATATAAATGTTATATATACGTATGATAATTTAAATTGTTTTGAAAGTAATTTAATTGCTAAAATACAGTATAAAGCCACACACACATACACACATACAYACACACATACACACATACACACATACACACATACACACATACACACATACACACATACACACATACACACATACACATACATACACACACTCATACATAAAAACAAAATTACTGTATACTATAAAAATACATATACAGTATTTTATCGATGACCTTGGCGATTTCTTGTGTCATTAAATACACTGGCATATAATAATAATAATAATAAATATTATTATTATTTACAAAACTTATTTGAATAAAATCAAAATTTTAAAAACTCATTGAAAACAACTATCAACTAAAAGTTTTATATAACTTTCAATTTTTGTTTCTTCAATACATGTTATTAATAATAAATTATGTTTTTTTTAAATAAAACACAACTTTACGATATAAAACATAAACTTTCTTTGTATGAAAAAAGTTTCATAAAAATTAAACAACAAAATTTTTACCACATGTATCAAAACGGTTTATCTCAAATGTTTATTGATAATTGAATGACGATGATTATGATGATGATTATAATGATTATGTTGCCAAAATAACAAATTTGAGACAGGTCTGCTATAAATAAAATAAAAATGTGTTTTAACCGAGAGTCAAATATTGACAAAAAAATTAAAAAATTTTATATAAATAAAGATTAAAGATTATATAAGTTTTTTTTCTTTGAATACACTTTATTAAGAAAAATTGAGTACACAATCATTGAGCGCATAGTAACAGCAGTGACACAGTATTTGTGCCAAATATATCATTAGTTTTTGATACAAGTATTCAATGAGAGAAGCAATTTATAAGATAAAAAATATGCCTTAATATATATGCCCGCAATTGAACATCATGTTTATCATAATTGTTTATTACATTAATACAGTACATGTACAGCTAGTATATATATATAAATTTATATATATAATATAAACCTATTTGTATATATTGTGTGTGTAATGTTTATTAATGTTTATTATATATAAGTTATATTTATTATATATACAGTATTTGTTTTATCCATAATAAGGCAAATCCAATGCAACGGTAGAGTGTTTTTCAATGACCACTACAATCGTGTTTTAAACCCATTTCATGTCTACTGTACTTCAAAAGTCTCTAATTTTTTTTTTGTTACACCTGTGGAATAGTTCATCAACAAAGTACAGGGAATGGGCTGTAGGGGACTGTAGGGTGTGGGCTATATATAAATGTTTATAATACTATATATATATATATGTGTGTGTTAGTCAAAATGAGAGAGAGAGAGAGAGAGAGAGAGAGATTATAAAAAATTTAATTTTCTGACAAATATTCAAACCTAGGTTTATTAATGAAATTTTTCACTACAATTTTCAATGCACTTTGAATTTATCGATTACATAATATATTTAATTTTTCCTTTTAGAAAAAAATATTTTTAAATATATTTTAAATTTGGTTTTAATTTAAACTCAATTTTTACAACACTAATTAAACATTTTTTTTAAACTACTAAAAATATAGCCTCATAAAATCAATGTCTAAATTTAATAGCAAAATACTAGGAATAGTTAAAGCCTATTTCCAATAATTAATGGCTATTTTTATTAGATAAAATTTATTAATTGCAATTTATAAATTATTCCACTAACTTTTTAAAATGTTAATAACAATTATAATTTCTATACAGTATATCCAATTAAAAGTGTGAAAATATAAAGTTATTTTTATATTATAAATACTAGCAGTCGAAAAAAATTTCATAAACAATTAATAAGTACTGTAAATGATATCCCAAATAAGCACTGCTTTTTAAAAAAAATAAATAAGGTAGCAATGGTGCTATAGTCAGGTAATAAATTAACTTTATGTATGTGTATATGCATGTATATATATATGTATGTATGTGTATATATATATGTATTTGTGTGTATATATATGTATGTGTGTTTGTACTGTGTGTGTATGTGTTATATACGTTAGCACACCGTATAATAAAACAGTAGAGAGTGAGTGTGTAGAAGGATGTACTCATCTTTAAGCTAACAGTGCAATAATGACTGCCTTATATTTTTAGTAGCGACTGACTTGAAATAACTGGTGATTCTGGTCGTAGCCAAGGATGACCAGTGCCTCAAGTGTTTTACAACAACTAAAAAAAGTGAACACAAATTAACGAGAAAATAGCATTTCGTTTTTGAATTGACTTCATATATATTTCTAGACATTTAAAAAACTTTTTTTCAATAATTATGTATTGTGTTTAAATAAATTTTACCTATACTTTAAAATTTTTTTTTTAAATAATTGATTAACTATTCAATTGATTGCATAACTATTTTTGTTGTTATTTTTTTGTATGAAGACTTTTAAATTGAATTTAATTTTCTGAAATGAAATTTTTTGAAAAATAATTGTAAATATCAAACATACAATTTCTGTTGTGTTTGCAAAAATGTTTTGGCATTGTTAGTGAATTAGTTCAAACAAAAAAAATAGTTAAATTAGCAAAAACACAAATGAAAAGCAGGGTTTCACCTATTTTTATTAGGAATCAATCAAACAGTTTAAGGATTTTAAGTGGTAGTAGTGGCAGTACTGTCACATTTTATAAGCCATGTTATTGAAAACCTGGTGTATAAACGGTATAATTCAAGTCAAATGTTTGTTTGAGGTGTGTGTGTGTGTGTGTGTGTGTATGTATGTATGTTTTGGCCACAAATCTAAGTCAAGTTAGTTAGTGAGTAAGTTGAGTCCCTCTGTACTTGCATCCCATACCTCATGAGGCAGACTGTCTGGTCCGCCCTTATATTTCAACTATTGATTAACTCAATTCCCTCTCAATTTACCGAAATTTTTTTTGCCCAAATCCTGAAAGTCTAATGTCAACAATTGGATGGCTCTCACAAAACAATATATACATATATACATAGATAATATGTTTCTAAATTTATTACCATTTTCTTAGATTACAATTAAATACAAAATTTAATTCAAAGAAATTTGTCGGACAATACTATGGACGGGAGGCACACATCCCATAAAAATTGTCGGCAAAACATAGGCTTCAATTTCATAATAATAAATAGTTGTTTTTGTTTTTAACAGATATCTATTAATAATAATAAATTTTAATGGGAAAAACTTTTTATTTATTTCAAATTTGTTATAATAGAACCTATGTTTTGAAATGACTTTTTAAAAGCAAATAATTTAACATTAATTTAACTAGGTGTTTTATTTAATTTTCACACAATAACTTAGTTTTTCACTTCAAGTGTTTGGCAATTGCTGCAAAAAAATTATTATTTTATTAATTATTAATTTATTTTATTAATACTGTTAGATAATAATAAAACTAAAAAGTTGTTTATGTAATATTTTTTATATATATATATATAAGTGTTTCACTTGTAATCAATAAAAAAGAGTTTATGAATTATTCAATTATACTATATGTTATAAAATAAAATTTTATCAAAGAGTATAGTCCATTGAAAATCAAACTAAAAAATTGACTGCAACTACTGTACTAATGATTAATTTTTGTCTACTATTTTCTAATTAAAAAAATTATTTTATATTGCTATTAGTATGGTATTATAAACAACTTCACATTTTATTTTTATAGACAGAAAATTAATTATATTTATGTTATTTAAGAGGAAAATTCTAAACTTGCAAATAAAAATAGTATATATTGTATTACAAATAAACGGTTTTATTTGAAATTATATGTTCATTATCTATATATATATATATATATATATATATGACATTTAATTTAAGAAATGATTGAATATTGTACTCAACATAATAATAAACAATTATTGTAATTGAATTTAAATATAATTTATTAATTTTAATAGTAAATAATTTTATCGATGTTTCATTATTTTTTAAGCTGAATATGTTTAGCCCATATTATTCTACCACTTTAATAATAATAATAATAATAATAAAGAGAGAGAGAGAGAGAGAGAGAGAGAGAGAGAGAGAGAGAGAGAGAGAGAGAGAGAGAGAGAGAGAGAGAGAGAAAGATTGGTTTTATCGAACAAAAAGTCAAATAAAAATAGCTTTTAGTGTAAATGTTTTATAATAGTCTTTGTGTTTATAAAATTGAATGATTGAATAATTATATGATAGTTGTGTTGTGTATTGTATGATGTGATGCAACACTCACTTTATAGTCGCATATTATTTTGAATGACGAGTGCAAAGTAGGGGAAAAACTGATAGATTGTCACAATATTATCTCTCTTAACAATGCTATACATCCATACTATTTGTAAATTATAATATTTTTATTTATTTATTATTTTAAATTAAATTGTATAATCATTCATTATATGAATTTATCAATTTAATTTTTTTATTTTTAGAGATTTATGTACAATAATAAAAAAAACTAACTGTAATTTATGATAAATTATTCACCAAATATTTTAAATGACTTAACAACTATGACAATGTAGTATTTGATGTATCATAAAAATAAATTACATTTTAAACAAAAAAAATTAACTAATATTTGAGATTTAATTGAGAATTAAATAATTATTTGAGAGAAACCTATTAATTGCATTGTTTTTAATAAACTTCTATAATTATGACACCAAATATTGATTAAAGTGGACAGTAATTAATGGCAGTATCGACAGTGCCGTCGGGTTTGTCGGTAAGAAATAATTTTTTGGTATGTCGTGCAAACTCCTGGTGCTAATGATGTTTGCCTTTGAAAAAGCACGTGTTGTTTAGGGCAGTGCTTGACTGTATTGACGTCACGGTGTGGGCCGATATATGCTGTAGTGTTTGTGCGCACCCGGAGTCTCGCATATGCTTTCAGAGACACTGTTATAAGCATTGATATGAAATGCAGTTTACGTTTAACTGTTAAGTGCTTTCAGTCGTATCGTTTGAAACTCAAAAACACACATTTCGTTCATTCAATGATTGCCTTATATATTGTTTGTTAACTTATTTCTTTAAAAATAATAATAATATCCCATTAAAAATACATACTATTTATTTGAATATCTTATTTCATCGGTTTTTTTAAACATATATTCAAATGTCCGCTGCTTTAGTGTCCTCGACATTCTTCGGCGACTTCGGTGACCACTATCGGGTAAGTTTCGGTTGACTCAATAATTAAACCGCATTTTTTAAAATTTTAAAAAACTTCAATTTTCTGTACTGTACTGTATATTACCAATTATTGTTAGTATTATTATTAACAGTAGTAGTAGTCTTATACTGTAATATCTATAAGTGTAGTGTATTAATGCAAATACTGTTGTGTTTAGCAATGCATTTACATATTATAGCTGTTGTTGTAGTATTAGTAATACATTGCCAACAATAGTGTTATTTATAAACCAAATGTTGTTTTTTTTGAAAAGACAAAAGCATTGAAATCAGTGATTGTTTTTCGCCGAAATACAAAATATAATAATAAAAAGCATTTTTTGTATTAGTTGAGAGACCATCCGAAATAGGTTATGATGTTATTGGAGGCAATTTGATGGTGTGTTAGGTCGAGCTCAGGGCTCTCCAACCATCATAAGCAGGTGTCCACTTATAGTCATAATTTTGATACTTAACATTAATATTATTAATATTAGTTTAATGTTGTGCTCTTTTTTTGTCTCCAAATGTTTTTTAAAAATATTTTATATTTATATCATTGACTAGATTTTTTTAAAAATTTTCAATGCCTTATATATACCAAATGACTGTTTTGTTGTTTGAGTCAACTGTTGTAATACAAAAACATTTTTTATACCAAATAAAAAAAAGTTTGTATTAAATGAAATAATACAATAAATAGTAGAGTCATCTCTTACTACTACTAATATTACTACTATTGGCATTGCGTTAGTGTTGTGTGTAATATACAGTAATATGTTTAGTGTATATGTGTTGAACATAGCAATAGTGTACTACTGATAGGTTTAGGTGTTTAGGTCAGGGCATACAACTCATACCTCTATTGAGCCCAAGTCTAGTTTGAAATGTAGGCTATGAGGCATTGAGGCTGTCATACATTGCCATCCAGTCCTCTAATAGTAAGTCAATGTGTATATACTGTGTGTATATATGTGTGTAGAGAGCCGTACAACAAGTGTTTCAAATGCTTTACTGACTCTTATATTATTTCAGTGTTATATCTGATGAGAAAAACTGTTTTATTTTTTAATAAATTATTTTTATTTTTAAAAAAAACTTTATTTTTGTTGTCTTTTTTTGCCACAAAAATATAGTCCAACGGATCGACAGCTCTTCAAACTTCACCGAAAAATAGTTTTGGCTCTCAATTAGTAGACAAGTCGTCGATTTACAACACTGTCCAACAAATTAATAATAATAATAATATTATTAATAATAACATTAACAACGCTCTCAGCAATACTACAGCCAATAGTAATGTAAATGTTATGAGCCGTCGGTTAGTGACCACAACAAACAGTGTTCCCTTAAATTTGAATTCACATCGACTCCAGACTTCGACAACAGTGCCAGCAATGCATCAGAAGAGCCTTCTTCAGGGTGTCAATCAAAACAATACTCAGACACCGCCGCCGCCGATCACTCTGGTCAGGGGTCTGACCACTCAGTGCTCTCTAACTAATAATAATATTATCAATAATAATAATAACAATACGATTAACGCCAACATTGGCAACAAAGAGCACAAGAAGTTGGACCGCAGTTATAGCGAACCGGCAGAGAAACAATGTCAACAGCAATTGGTTCGTCTTAACTCGACATCGGCAGCAGTGGCCGGTCCTATGTCTTCACGGTATAAAACAGAGCTATGTCGCAGTTTTGGCGAAGTGGGCACCTGTAAGTACGGTGATAAATGTCAATTCGCACACGGAGGACATGAACTCAGGATTATTACAAGACATCCCAAGTTTAAGACAGAAAACTGTAAGAGCTTTCATTCGACTGGATTTTGTCCGTACGGTCCGCGATGTCATTTCATACACAATAGCGAAGAACAGAAGAAAAGCATTATGAATAACTTGGGATCGGCTGATAATAATACGAGTCCACAAAATGGTGGTAATATTATGACCAGCAATGGTCATAACAATAATAATAATAATAATAATAATATGATGAATAACATGAACCTAAACAACGCAAACAACTCAATGGTTAACCATTTGAGTCAAGCATTTGGTACGGCTTTTCAATCCAATCAAAGCTYACATACATTGCGTCCAAAATCGTTGTCTATTGGAAGTTATAGTTTGGGCTCTTCAGGAGAGATCTCACCGCCGAGTAGTCAGAGCGGAAGTCCCACTTCACTCAACAGTTTCTTCACCGAAGATCCGTTTAACGCGTTTATATCGCCAGCAAATCAGGCGTTGGGCACCTGTGCTAACAATGCTTTTTCATTTTCACCTGATTTTCAATCACTCATGTCTTCTAACAAATCTGGTTTTAGTGGATCACAACCCACACTTTGTCCGCCCTTTGGTCTAAACGGTAATCTAAACAACGAAATTACCAATGGATCCATTGTTATGCCAAATCTATTTTCGAATCAATTAATTACATCCAATATGAGCGATGGCATGACATCAAGTTTGTCAACAACACCACCTCCACAGACACCGAAAGGTTCGTATCCGATGGCACCGGACTCGCCGGTCGATAGCATTGCATCGGATGTTGAGGCACTCAAATTGGATCAAACATCGGGTTCACCAATGGATGTAAACAAGAGTCTTCCACGACTACCGATATTCGCCAGATTTTCTATCAATGGTGGCTCTGATGAATAAGACATGTCGTTAAGTAAGAAAAGGCAGTCAAAAACACCATACATTTGAATACACCTAAAAACCCAACACTTTATTTATTTGACACTATTATTGTCCACACATTTTGAGAGACTAAGCGCTGGAATTTAGCCCCACTTTTATCATACACTTTAAAACCCCTCTTAATATAAGCCACTCTCAGGTAATTTATAATACTTTTGTGTGAATATATATATATATATATATATATATATATCGCTATTTCGTATGAATCGTATTACTATAACTATTTGCTATTATTTAACAACATTTGGGACCAAAACACATACACACAAAACGCATCATTTGTTCACACAATTTAACCTTCACTTTAATAAATCAAACCTCTCTTTAACACATTTATCAAATACTATACCGTATTTTTTTTTGCTATTTATTCACATTAATAGTCTTTATTAGTCATAGTTATAGTATCCCGAAAAAGTATGAAAACGGCTCAAATAAATTTATAAATAATATATATTAATATATAGTTTTTTAATATATATATTAATAATATAAGTTTTAATTAAAAATGCAAATTTGTATAATTTTTTTTAATTTGTAAAAATCAAAAATTTATATTAGATGTTTTTAATTTAGCGAATTATGATTAATTTTTTATCATACTTTTGTTTAAATTGAGTTAAATTGTGCTATAATTATAAATAATTATTTGAAGGATATTTATGTTTTGTATATTTTGATTATGTCTTGTAAATTAAATGATTAAATAACTAAAAGTCCCATTTGATAGATAGGATTACAGTTAATGACTAGAAAAGCATTAATAATATTAATTGTTGATACAAATGAAAATATACAATAATTTAATATATTTATATTAACATAAATTGACTGCATTTTACCTATTATTCATTATTTCATTAATGCCAATATGCAGCTAATTATTTAAAATATTTATTAATTAAAATATTAATTTTTAAAGTGATTTTGTAGTTTCTTATATATATTGATGTATAATCACAAAAATAATTAATATATATATATATGAAAAATATGAAACTTAAATTGGATTTAAAGTGCCTTTAAATTTAATATTTAAAAAAATATCACTGTTTGTATTTAAAAAATATTTATAATGTTTATTAATCACATATTATTATAATTTATATATTGTATAATGAAAGGCAGCCAAAAGGCCTCAACTTCGTTCAAATATTTCATTATATATATACCTTATTAAATACATTAATTTAATTTTAATACTTTTATTTTTTAATTTAAACTTATTTATAAATTATCATTTAATACATAAAAATTTAATTTATTAAATACTTTACTATATTTAAACTATAGTTTTTATTATTGTTCTTTAATTATAAAAATATGTTTATAAACTGATTGCAATGTTCTTATAATTATTAATATTATATAATTATTATATTATTTAAATTATTATATTGTAATAAATGCTCATATTTTAATTATTATAAATTATTTAAATTAACGTTAAAAAATGTTTATTAGTAGTAATAATAAAATATTTAGTTATTTAACTGATTTATATATATATATTGTATAATTATAATTTAAAACATACACAACACACTGTTATTTTGTCATATATTGTATGTGTTTAGCCAAAGATATGTTTAATATTATTGAAAATGTTTGTGTTATGTAATGATGATAATAACAGTTTTTAACTAAAAATTTATATATAATACAAAACTATTTATTGGACCAAAATTGATATATATTTTTTTTGATTATTACATAATAATCTCATTCCGTCATTTAAGCAGAAATTTCTCAAATTTCATAATATTTATTAAATTTATTATTAATTTAAAATTTTCGTATTAAATATATATAAATATATAATTAAACTTGTGAATTGCATTTAAATTATAGTGTATTATAAAATAACTAATTTATATAAAATTTGTATTTTTATTATAATTATCAAAAAATATTGTTTTATAATTGAAATAACCTTTTTTTAATATGTTATTGTATTTATATTTATATACTATAAATAATAGGAATTTTAATAAAAAAGATGTTTAAAATATTTTTAATATAGAATATATATATATTATAAATATATTATAATAAATAGTGGTTTTTTTAAAAAAAATAATAAAATCAATAAATTTTGAAATAAAATACTACTATGAATTTATTTATTTTCCAATGAAATGCTCATTAATTTATTATATAGAGATATTTGCGATCAAAATTCACATACACTTAGCTATTTGAAGTTTGAAGTATTTGATAACAACACTACAGTACACACACATATATACAACAGTGATGTCTATTTTAAAAAAGCAAGTGTTTTGTATGATTGTGGTTACCATTTATCGTACGATATATTTATTTCTCTGGTAATACTTAATACAAACAACTATTTATACTAATAAATACTTAGCAATAGGACGGCTATAAAGAGAGAGAGAGAGAGAGATAGAGAAATGTTTGTGTACTTTATACTGTTTTTAAACAGTAAAACTATACTGTAGTGTCAAATAATACTAATACTGCATAAATACTGTATAGTTTTAATCATATTTTTATCAGTTATTTGGTTATAAATTGGTAAAAGCGATGACCTTTTTATCACGTCTTCTTATCGCTCGCTCTCTTCTCTGAAAACTTACAGAAACTTTCTTATACTCAAAAAAGAGAGTCATTTGAGAGAGAAAGAGAGAGAGAGAGAGAGAGAGAGAGAGAGAGAGAGAGAATGAGAAAATATTTTGAAAAATGTTGATGAAATGAACCAAAAATTGCTATATATATATATATATATATATATATATATATATAGTATATACAATACAGTCAGTCTATTTGAAACAAGTGGTGACTTTTATCTTGAAATATTAGCCAACTAAGCATATGTGACATGTCTCTCATATATTGGTGTATCTATGGGGACAATACTTACTACTAATTAATACATTACTATTAAATGATTTTAAAATAGTTTTTGGTATTAATCTATATATATATATATATATATGATAATTGAATTACTATATTTAATAATGTCAAATGATTGTTACTGAGGGGTATCAATTGTACAGTATATACAAATGAAGGGCAACATTGTATTGATGATGTAATAACTTATATGAGTTATATATCGATCAACAAGAAAAAAAATATTGTGAGAAACAAGACTTAACTGATGGCTAAATGAGACCCCAATTGCTTTTAAAACATATATTACTATATCGACATATAATGGATAACCAGTTATGACAATAGTATTAAACTTAATGTTCATTCAAATTCATAGTTTATCGCTTATATCATACTTTTTATAATTAGATCACATAATAACTTTAGTGTACACTTGAATTGCAAATACGAAAAGAAAAATTTTCATTCATTCATTCAATCGCTATAAGGATTTATGTCAAATAGAGATCAACTTTTTTATATTTTTTATTATTAATTTTTAATGAATTTATAATTTTTTGTTGCCAATTGCAATGAGATTGCATTATAAAACAAAATAATTTATTTATTTATATTAAATTTCCAATTCAAATAAATAAAATACACATAAATATTGTGTTCAATACATTTAATTATTTTAACTATTCATTAAAAAAATCCAAGAGTACTATACAAAATATATGGTGGTATATATGATTAAACAAATATATCAGTATTATTAGATAATAATAATAAAATATAAATACTTTAAGCTAGTTGTTTATAAAATGCTTATCATTGATTTCGTAATTTATTTTATATAAGTTAGATTATAAGGAAAAACATTTAATTGCTTAGTTAGCTTTAAAATATATCTATAGTCTTATTATTGTTATATTATACAACTTGTATAATACAACAGTAGAGTAGATTATTATTATATATTTAAATATAACAATGTTTATAATAAGAAGTAAATTTTTAAATATATTTTTCAAGTATCTGTGTGTTTGATTTATTTTTATAAATATTGTTTTATTGCTTCAATAATGTGTAACCATATCTTTTGCACACAAGTATTAGAATAACATAATATATAAAAGTTTTTATGGAAATAATTATAATTCAAGAGATAAATTCCCATAAAATGTATTTGTATTTGCACTTAGATTTGTTTTAAACGCCAAAAACAGTCATAAAATACATGTATATATTGTATAATATATATTCATCGCAACGAAGAAAAAAGTAAACCATAAGCTATGATAATATAATTTATACGATATATATATATATATATATATATATCTAAACACATTATTTTTCTTTCATATCGTTAACGTTTTGCTATCTGTTTCGATGCAGAAAAAAATATACGATTGCTTTTTGATATATATTTATAAGAGAGTGGTGTGTGTTTGTGTTTGTAGTATAAGACTAATCAAAATGCAAACTATGGTTGAAATGTTTAAAATGTATTTTTTTACGGCAAACAGATATGTGAATCTGAAAATTCATAAAAATATTTCAAAAGCATAGCCTTGAATAACTGTGAATGGCTTTAATAATAATAATAATAATAATAATAATAATAATACAATTCATAATATAATGGTTGTGCTACAAGTGTGTGCATTGAATATAAGTATATGCACTGCGAGAGAGAGAGAGAGAGAGAAGCAGTAGAGGTTCTTTGGTAGGACTGGTAGTAATACTGGTGCTGATAGTCGACTCTATTTCGACATTTGCTTCATTCCCCAGCACTGTATGTGCTGTTTGTGTACTAAATAAGTTAGTCTTCAATACATATCACATATAATGCATTTGCTTATACACTGGAAATAGGAGAGAGAGAGAGAGAGAGAGAGAGAGAGAGAGAGAGAGAGAGAGAGAGAGAGTGGAAAGGGAAGGCATACTGTGTGTTAGTGTATGTATGTATTGAGAGGAGTGGAAGTGGGCCAGTGTTCAGTATTTTTGGTAGAGTTTATCCTTGAAAAACCTGTTCACTTATTTTTTGGTCGAAAAAAATTTGTTTTGAAGAGTTTAACAAAAGTTTCCTCAATTGCATCACAGCATCCATTATAATGTTGAAAATCATATTACTGTTTAAAATCCTATCGCTATTTCTCTAACTCACTCACTCACTCACACACACACACACAAATACATAMATACATACATACATACATACATACATACATACACACACACACATACACACACACACACACATACATACATACATACACACACACACATAGGCTCACATAGATACAGATTGACTCACACACTCACTCACTC